AGGATATGTTTTTCTAATTTAAGGGGAAAGACGTGAACTAAAAAAGTCAGCAATTTTTGTGCACCACAGCAGTCGGGAGGAGCCACTCTTCTCTTGCAGGCTGACTAGGAAGGCACCAGCACTCTCACTGGTTCAGATTCTTTTAAMTGCCATTTGATTTTGAAATGAACAAAATGAGAAAGAGAATGTTGCTCACATTGGTGTTTACATAGCCACCAAATCTACAAAATCAGCAACACAGAAGCAGCAGCTGAGGTTAAACTCATATAGGAAAGACAGACTACTACTTTCATGGCATAGATGTTTTACATTTGCATAGGGCGTGGTTTTTTTTACTTAAGAATGCAAAAAAAGGAAGTGAGTGGTTTAGCATGTCAGCCCTCTTAGTATCTTTCTAAAGACATGTATTTTTACCAAGGATCAATTTCCTGATTAGGTCACAGCACAGAAAAAAAATTTAGAAAAGAAAGTTCTGCTCTTAATTCTTTGATCATGATAGCTTAAGAGACCTTCTTTCCCCTATAAAAAATTAAAATACTAAATCTTTATTCCTAATATGATATGCTTATATTACAGATTACCAAGAATTATACATCAAACCAAATCACCCTTTTTCGTTTCCATCTCCCATTAAGTAAGTGCAACTGGGAACACTTGCAGAAATCCATATTCAGTCTTACAAAAGAACACAGGTTGATGTTTCCTTTTTGTTTTTCCCAACCAGACAATGCACAAATGTGAAGTTACAGATATAAAGGATATTGAATTGAGGGCTCATATTTTACTACACAAAACAGCTGACTGTAAACAGTTTTCTACCTTTTATTCTTGTCAATCAATTGATCTACTAATGGTCTGTGTTGTTATACACGTTTTTTCACAGGATGAAGCATTTGTTCTTTATCCTTTTTCCAAAATGTGATGTTATTACACATGGGCTGCAGAGCAGACCTCATTCACCTCTTAAACAGACAGCACAAAAAAGTAACTCAGAGAACATAGAAACAGGGAAGAGATATCAGATCTTGGTCTCACTGACACTTTCTCCACTCAAAACATAACGTTTCTTCACGTCCAACATTCACATTCTTCAAATCTTATGGATGTGCATGTTCCTCCCCAAGATAAGGCAAAATTCCATAGTCTAATTTTCCTTGGATGCAGCCTGATGCTGTTTCCCTTTCCTTACTTTTATGTATTACTGAACCCTTATTAATTATTGTTTCCTTGTCAAATCACTGTAGAATAACAATCACACAGGTTTCTTTGCCTTCACATATTTAATATGTTGATGAAGGTGAGCTGAGGTTATTTCGTCAGGGCAGAGGAAAGTAATAAATAAAAACAAGCAGTGTTGCTGGTGGTAGCATTTCTAACAYGTTACATAGCAAATATCTGCATTTCTTGAAACTGGGGAAGTAATAACCAGCAAAAAATATCCTCTTTTTTCATGGTGATTACACATTTGGGGCAAAAATCTAGCTACTGTCATTTATATGGTAGCCAACTCATAACTGGACCAAGTAACTTGTCTGGTCTTGACCATCAAATACAAAAAGCTCCAGATTCACAGCATAGCATACATCATGAGAAACACTGCTAAACAAACACACCCCAAAGATATACAGTTTTCTTTGTCCTCCTGCAGTCAACTTCCTGCTACAAAGTTCAGCCCCAAGTCATCCTCTTCATTTTTAAAGTTGCCRTTGGGTGGAGATCATCCAATGTCCAAACCATGACAGCTCTGCAAGGACACGACCTCCAAAGGACCAAGTTAAAATTGGTTTCATAATATGAATGCAGTTATCTACGACATGGTGACAACCATAATTATTTYTCCCTTTTATTCACTGCACCTTCTTCTGTTTAGAGGCTCAAATTTATCGCTATTATCTAAGGGAAAGAGATCGCACAAGCTTTTGACAGAAAAGGTAACCCAGAGGATTTTATCTGGCTGCCCTGATTTAAGCCCAGACACTCAAGAATGCAGGCAGTACAACACAACTTTCATAGAGGCAGGAGAATGCGCACTTTTAGCTTCAAGTTTAAAGGAGTTGGGCTGCGTGTTTAGTTTTTATTGAAAGATTTTTTTTTGCCAAGATATTTTTATGCCATACTGGATACTGTTATTCCAGTAAGGGAAAGTATCGGCTACCTGAAAAACATCTGCAAAACAGCTGATGATAACTTTTAAACTAGAGTATCGAATGAATAGGTGTCTTCAAACTGCCAGCTGTCATGCTTGCCATGTGCCAAACCATGTCTCTTTCATAGCTGAAACCACAGTCACTAATTAAGCATCTTAAATCTTCAAAATCATTCTTGTTAACAGGATGCTTTATCTGGCCAATACAGAATTCTTGAGACCAAGCATTACAACCTATCAGTCATATAAAAACAATAAAATACTTCAAACCATGCTTTTTGAGTAGTGCTACTATAATCTTCAACATATCGGAAAAAAATGAGTGGTTTTGGCGGTATACTAAAAGCTTAGTTCATATAATTTTTTTAAACAAGGGTGGTAGAAAGCTACAGAAACAAGAGAAGTTTGTGCTCTCTGAAGATGACCAACTGCAATTAAAGACAGTGACCTACACGAGTATTTCCATGAGTTGAATCACAAACCCGACATGTTACCAATAGCAGAAGGATTGGTTCCCTGACCAAAACCGAAATCCCCCAGTATTTTGTAACAGGAGTTACAGCCCTATCCTTTCAGAAGACTTGCAATTATTAGACTTCTCTTGTAATTTAGACACAGAACTTGAAAACAAATTTATGCAGTAAAAACATCCTTGTATCTGAAGAAAAAGGAAACCACATTTAGATTAAAGACTTATGCCACTTCTCTTATGCCACCATTCATTTGCCCAGATCTAGATATTCTGTTCAGTTTTGCGCCCCTCAATGCAAAACATGTTATTAAACAAGGACAGATTGAGCACAGGGCCTCAAGATGCTGAAGGGCTGCAGATCTTGCCCTGAGGAGTGGCTGGGGAAGCACGTTCAGCCCAAGGAAGAGATGACCACACCGAGGACCCATTACCTGCCGGTCAGTATGCATGAGAGGATCACCAAGAGGCAYAGGGCTCTTCAGCAGTGCATTGAAGGTTCGTGTTTAAAGTTTTCAGCAAAACATTTCAATACCAAACATCATTAGACTATAGTTTAGCCAACTTCTAACTTTTACCTGATGTGTGTTTTTCGGCAAGTACTAACATTTTCATACAGAACATCTTCTGAAATGTACAGATTTCTCAATTTGAACCAAACACCTGAGAAATCAATAGGTTACAACTTTTTTTTTTTTTTTTTTTTTTTTTTTTTNGGAGAAAGTCAAGCAAACAAATTTTCTCTCTGAGATTCCAAAAGGTCATTGCAAACAATTACTAAAATGCAGTACTGCAAATAACATATGCCTTTTTTTTTTTTTTTTTTTTTTTTTTAAACGCAGGCGGCACAGACATCTTCTCACTGCCTGGCTCGAGATGTTCAGATTTGAACCAAGCCCATTCCTCAAGGAGCCTGAAATTCACTATATGCTGCTGCGAATTACCTTCACGTCAGAGGCTTTACTGCTCGGCARCCCCACAGCCTCACTGAGGTTCCCCATGCTGCGGCCACAGGCTGYAAACAGCCCCCGGGGAATGCTTGTGTCCCCAAAAAGCCAGCATGCACCAGACAGTCATTACTCACGGGAGACTTGCAACCACACTGGGGAGCAAGAGCAATGGGGAGCACTGTAGCAGAGTGCTGTCAAGCCCTTCTCTTTCATCCTCCTCCTCTACTATGTCCCGAAAAAGCGAGCACAGAACAAGCCCACTGCTGCAGAAGAGTAAAAACCATTCACACAAGCCAGGCGCCCTTAGGASGCTGGTTTGGGTCAGGAAGCCTCTCCCTGCTGCGGGCTGTTACTTATTCACACGGGCGCTGCTGTTTGTCAACACGGCTGGGGCGCCGCTCCGCCAGCAGGCTGGGGCGAACGCGGGACGGGACGGCGGCTGCGGGACACGCGCTTCCCTCCTCGGGAGAAAAACCCCTGACTCCAGCCGTGCCCGGCCCGCCGGGTCCCCCCGCCGCCCGCTCGGGTGTCGCGCTTACCGCGGGGCCGGGGACTCGAGGGTCGCGGYGGGTGGCGAGGCGCAGGCGGGCGCGGCACCGCCGCTCGCCCGGGGATGCTGCTCCTTCTTCTTCGGGCGCCAGTGGGGGAACGCGGGGCGCCGCTTGGGCGCGGCGGCGGCGGAGGGGCGGCGGCGGGGGGCGGCGGCCGCCCCCTCGGGCTCCGAGTCTTCCGACTCGCTGCGGCCGAAGAGGCGCTGGAAGCGGCCGCGCCGCGCCATGCCGGGCTCCGCGGGGATCTCCCGCCGGCAGCCGGAGCGGGAGCGGCAGCGGCAGTGGGGGGAGTGCGGCGCTCTCGGGCTCTCCCCGGGCATGGACGGGGCGGCGGTGGCAGCCGCCCGCCCCGRTGTATGCGTTTAATAAGGCGATTCCTCCCTCCCTCCCTGCCCACCGCCGGACGCGTCGGTCCCTCCCCGCGGAGAGAGCCGCGCCGCGCCGCGGCAGGCGGGCTCCCCGCCGGTCGCACAGGAAGGGAGCGGCCCACGTGTGATCCGTGCCAGGGTGCGCATTAGGGGCCATTATCTTGTTGTTTTCTGCCCCGCGCCCCGGACACTTGTGCAAGGCGCGGGGAAAGGCTGCGCGTCCGCCCGCACCGCGCCGGGGGCTCCGCATCCCCCCGCGGCCCCCCCAGCCCCTCCTAATGTAAGGTGACAAACGTGAATAGAGAGAGTCARCTGTACAGCCGAGGGGGGTCCTCAGGAGCCAGCACATCCCAAACCTTGAAGCGCTGCTTTTTGTCCCGGTGCCCGCCACATTAATTAATTACCTGCTTATCCCTGTCCCTGGAAATAAATTGGCTCTGACCGCCCTGCTGGCTCGTTATCCCGCTGAGGAGGACGAGGAAGGGACTCCGTAGGGAGGCAGAGCAGCTCCCGCGGGAAGGCTCAGGCTGCCACCCTTGCAGTGGGGAGGATCGTGTCAAGTTTTATCGTGACTAGCTCCTACTAGGACCTGCGATTCCATGTGTTCATCGGTGCTTTTAGGAAACTTCTCTTAAATTATCCTGAGGTCCAGCTTTTCTTAGGAAATACTGTTGAATGCTGACGGATTCCATCGCTACTAAATTGCGTCTCACAAGCACGCATTTGTCTGATGCAAGGARATTTTAGGATACTTGTGGTTCTGATTTTTGCTTGCTACTGATGGGACATGGATGATATGATTGCCTGCTAAAAATACTAAGATGACATAATAAAAATATTGGAAGTCTGTATTCTGGAAAAACTTCAAATTCATAGCTGTGCAATGGTCATAATCAGCCAATAATTGACAAACACCATGTAAATTGATGTATATAAATTAGTGCTGTTTTTTATGGCAGGAGGACAAGGATGTGAGTAAGGCAGAGGAACACAAAATACAGAGGAGCTGGCCAAGCAACTAAGTCTTACCTATGCTACTGTTTTACTCCAAGCAATATGTACCTGTTGTGGGGGCAGATTGGGTTCTTTTCTGAGTTGCAGTTTATTTGGCTAGTGATTAACTAAACAGAACAACTAAAAAGGAAGTGATTTTTTTCCTCAAATTAAATATGTGTCATGCCAAAATTGGGCAGAACTGGAAGGAAAGAGAGTTGTACCCTCAGGAGCTACATAAGGGATTTGGAAAAAAAAAATCCATTTCAATAAAGCAATTTATATAAGCATGAAAACCTTAGAATCACAAAACACTTGAGGTGGGAAGGGACCTCTGAAGTTTGTCTAGTGCAGCCCTCTACTCGAGCAGAGTCAGCAAGAGCAGGCTATCCAGGACATTATCCATTTGGATTTGAAGTATTTCTGAGGACAGAGACAGGAGACCTGATGGCAGGTAGCCATTCTTGATGGATGACTAGGAACAAAGCAGTAWCTGGATAGAATTTTTGGACACTGAGTAGACACTGTAAAGATTCAAATAGCTATATATCCCCTCTTATTTTAGCCTAAAATTATTCCTTTCTATTTCCTTGACTAGAGAACCACAACTGGCATTCAGAACCATTTTCTGGCATTCAGCACTGAAGAAGCCGGATAACTATATTCCTGAGTCTGTGTGCTGCATTTCCATTTAGGTCTCAGTTATAATTGGGATTCTGTTGTGCCAGACCAAAGATGAATTAATTGGTGTTGGTGAACCACTTCACCTAAGYAGCACTGGTGAGAAAGGAGTCTGGGTCACTGCAGCTGTGGTGTATCTTCTCCCTGCCACTGTACCCATTCGGTACCCTGAGCCCATGGCAGAAAAGGCAGATGAGGGCATGTTCAGCAGACCTCTGGTACTTCATTCCACACCAAGAAAAATAGATGTGTTTAGCCTGAAAACATGGTTTAAGTGACAGAAGAGAGAAAAGGGAGAAGTGCAATGCATACCTTTTTTCAAATCCTCTTAGATTATCTTGGCAGGGTCTGGATTAGCGTTAGCACCATASAGTACCTAGAAAATGTGGAGTTACATCTCTCCAGAGAGACATATGTAAGAAATACACACTCCACCTAAGTCTTGAGGTATCCGGCAATTGTGCTTSAGTGCTAACATATTCTAAAATGTCCTGATACACAAAAATAAGTGAAGGGGTTTGGTTGTTAGTGTTTTTCAAACTTTGGGTAAATTTAAAATCTGGCTGTTAAATACAGTGTCAGAACATGTTTGATCCAAACAGATCTGTGGAGGCCCAGTACTTTTAGTGACACCTGTGTTATGTAGAAGGTTTGGACCTCTTAATTCAGGAAAGACATTTTTAAGACCATTAGTTAGGACAGACATTCATAAGAATTAGCCAGTCATTTAGGGAACTWTAAGTGATGGTCATGTTTATGTCAGCAGCCAGTTTATGTCAGTTTAATCCAGGCACATGCAACAGAACAAGTCAGTCTAGCTTTATCTGAACCAACACAATTTTGCAATAGTTTGTAGTACTTCATACCTTAGAAAGGTATTATGCAACAAATTATCCTTCTCCTGTTTGGTATCATTCCAGCCTGGTGAAAAAGAAGATGATTGAGTATCTAGATTAGTCTTTACCATACTCAATATCCATCTAGCTGGACTGCAAAATGTATGTGAGCTTTTTAAAAAAAACAAATCAACAAACCCCAAAACCTGAAACATGCTAATATTGGAGTTACAAAGATAATCCAATAAATACAGGCTTGAAGTCTTTGAAGTTGTTACAGAAATGAAMTAACACAGAAGGTGAGATAACACTATTTATTCAAATATTTATTCTAYTTCTTTATTGTTTCAAAATCACTGTTCTAATATAAAACTCTTCCAATGTATGGCACAATAGCTCTGAAACAAACAAACAAACCTGCAATCTAAAGCCCATACACAAATTATGGAAAAATAGGAATGGATTATCWTCAACTTTGTCATCAAATATTTTATCTTCTTTTCCAATAAAACAGTGGTGTGGAATTTCTTTCAGAAATGGTACATGCATGCAAACATTTGAGATTCAGTTAATTCATTGTCAGAATATATGAAGAGTGCTTTGGATTCCTGTACTTTGGAGTTGGTGGTAAAAGAACAATAAGGTACACAGGCGCCAAAATCCTACCTTGTGTCCCACATAAAACACGTAAGTCCCAAACTATGGTCCTGAAATCCCACATTCATTTGACACCTAACCCTGCAGGCACTTAAATTCCAGGGTTGCCTCCCTGTTTGTCTTGAAAGTGCCCCAGGTACTTAGGGATTCTCTTCCCCACATGCTCAGAGCTGCTCCAGTCTTCACAGGATTGAGTGTTGGGTGCCTGCTTCTTGCCTAAGTCTGACAAGGAGCTAAAAACTAGGTATTGCTTGGCCTGAATCTCTGCTGGGACTCCCTGTGGTTGCATATTTGGGTCCTGTTTAACTAACGCAGTAATAGCAGGCTCCGTACAAAATGTCGTGCTGGCTTTCAATTTTTTTCCAGGAGTTCAAGGTGTGATGTAGAAACAGTGCTGGAAATGGTAGCTTTAATTCAGGAACATCCTACCTACAAGGATATATTGTATCTCACAGTCATATCACCACTAAAGCATTTTTTATGGCTCAACAAAACACTAGAGGTTCCCTGGCCAGACCTAAAAAGAGGAGTCCTGCTCCATGCTTTGAAAAAAAAAAAAAGGGCATAAATGAATGTCCTCAGTAAACYAGTAGACATGGTGAGATGTGGGTGATCACCCCTGTGGGTTCAAGACAGCTTGGAAAATGCAACTAAATATTGCAACCAGGAAAAGCGAAGGATAGGAAGTAAATTGGTTCAGGAACATGCCAGCCAGAATTGCAGCTAGARCAATATGTAGAAAGCCAGGGAAGCWAAGAGACCTTTAAAACAAATATCAGGGCAAACCCTTAAAGGTAAGCAATTCATGTCACAGGGAAGGACTTTGGAAAAATGGCAGTAGCTTGAATGAGAATAGGATTAAGGAATCTGGAAGCAAGAGACAGTGATGCGAGGCTTCAACCAAGAAGTAAATTTGTAAGTCAAGCRTATCTGGGATTGCCTTATTGTACCTGGTAGGTGGGGCAAAACATCACTCAGGCTCAAAGGGCAATGATTATTGGCGTGCCAGTTGCCATGACTTACTCTGGTCTGTCTGGTGGCCGCATGGCTGGATTGCCTGGGGGGACACACAGGGGAGCGCACAGGCACTGGAGCTCGAGYAGATGGATGCACCTCAGGCTCTGAGGACATTCTGGAGTGGGGGTGAATTTGCATAACCTCATGCTGTGAGTTTGTTCTTGTACACACTGTGTGATTACTTCAGGCAGCAATTTAGATTTGTGTGTCGGATGCTTTTGGTCTTCTTTTAAGTTGTCTGGTTCCCATCACGGTTCAATTTGGGATCTTTGGAATTTAGCTTCATCTGTGAGCTAGTACCKCACTTGAAAGCATGCAATGCCCATCTCTTAGTGCTAGTTATTGATCAGGTAAGTAAAAAATGCATGTGAYTTATCAGGGTCAAGATTTCACTTTCATTTTCTGGATAGCTTTTTTTATAATCCAGTTATTCATTAAGATTTCTGCCATTGATATTCTAAGATTTTTATTCTGTAAACTCAGTATTCCACAGCAGGTAGATGCAGGCAGAATTTTCAATGGGAAATTAGCATATTCAATTAATTAATTAAATATTAGCATGGTTTCTTATTTTTATTTTTGCTGTAGA